GGCTATATGGGCTCAGCCCGTAGCTGCCACGACTCCTGCGACGACTGTCCGTCGGAGCCATGCAAGCCTTGTTGCGCGGTCGGGAGGCTGGGGATCACTGACTCTGCGGTCTGCTGTTAAGAGTTGGGTCATTCCCCCTCCCAGTAACAGTCCAATTAAGGGGCTATTATAACTACTGTTAGACCTTGTGGTAACTGTTACTGTAAGGGGGAATGACCCAAGTGGCAGTGGAAGTACAAATGGGAAAAAGCAGAAATGGAAGCAGTGTGCAGTACCCATCAACCAGAATACCTGAAAGTTCGCGAGATCTTGAAACTGATTTTTCACTATTCGGTACGCCTGCAAAAGATTGGTTTCAGGAATTGCAAGCTGAGTCAGAATCCTAGTTGTCAACAGTCACTATGTCCTTCAAGCCGGCAAGTAGTTCTACCGGGACAGTGCCGTTGTAGGGCCGTAGGGCTTCCCAAAAGAATTGTTTTGGAAGCCCTATGTATAAATGGTATGGGCGTACTGCAATCTAGTAGGGTTGGATAACGCAGAACTTTGAGATAGGGATAAGCTATAAAGCCAAGTTGTAAGGAGCTAGCCACGCGGAGCATCGTGAATCAGTATCATGAATCATGGATATTTCCAGTGCTTCGTAATGCACATAACTATCTTCTAAACCCCAACGCCTGCATCTTCCCAGTTTCCATTTCAGTTTAACTTTACCTTTGCTTCTCCTGATGCTCCCTCTTACCCTTACAGTCCTTATAACAAGAATAGTGTAGACCCCGATTAATAAACCACCTCCCTGTAATAGGGAATCATAATAGGGATCCAAATAGTAAGGGCCTTAAAAGGAGGGGGTTTATGAATCATGGGTCCCTAAACCCTAAACTCTAAACCGGGTTTAGGGTTTAGGGTTTAGGGGTTTAGGGTTTAGGGTAAGCAGAACGCTCCAACTATTCAAGGAAGCCTCAAACATATAGACCGCCACAGAGACCCTTCTAGGGCTTAGGGTTTAGTGTTTAAGGATTTAACGATGGTATACCTGACAGCCTAAATCTGCCTTAGACCTGGAGCTGAGTCTTGTATCTAGGCCCTCGAAACCCAAAATCCCAAGCTAATCTATCCCGCAAGCCCCACCCTAGACTTCTCTCAAGCAAAGCCCCAAACACGATACCTTGACGACAAACACCCCTAGACCTTTGAATATGTAGCTATATACCCCCATATAGGCTCATATCTCTCTATATACCAGACCTCAAGACCTACTGTTGATACTGGAATTCCTGCATGACTGTAGCTGCATACTGCCCAAGGTATCACGTAATTACTCAGGGTCATGGAAGGTCACTAGTACCAGCCGTATGCAGACCTCTACAATCCAAGTTTCCATTTCATTTTCCCACTTTCTTTGCCCTTTGATTCTCCACTATCCTAAGCCTTAAGCCCTAGGCCCTGTGTTCTGTCCCTATCAGCACGAACGCCTCGCACCAAACCTTAAACCCTGAACCTTAGACCTTACACCTAAACCCCCAAACCCCTAAACCCTAATCCTAAACCCCTCAACCCTAAATCCTAAAACCCTAAACCCTTAACCCCCAAACCCCAAACCTAGAAACTGAAGCCCTCCAGGCCTGCCGCTGGCTTGGGCAGGCTCGCCACTTTGCCGCCGCCGCCCCGGCAGCTGAGGCAGGGGTTTAGGGTTTAGGGTTTAGAGTTCAGGGTTTAGGGTTTGGGGTTTGGGGTTTGCGGTTTAGGGTTTGGGGTTTGGGGTTTAGAGTTTAGGATTTAGGGTTTAGGGTGAGGGGGTTTAGTGGGCCTCTCCCATCGAGTGGGGATGAAGTTGCACGTTTTCTGCCCAAATGTGGAGGCTAGGGTGCATTTTAAGTAAGTGGCTTCAAAAGGGAGTCGCAAGCGTAGTTGTTCTTGGGTATATTTCTTGGTTTGGGAAGGTTATGCCTCAAGATAATTGCCAGTGTTAATGATTTGAACCCAGAAAGGAATATCGAAGCATAGTATCTATGCTGTCTGAGCAAGGAAACAGCTGGTAGGGATTCAATGGGGTGTGCGGGATCATGCAGGAGCTATGGGGGGGTTGTATATGGATCAGTTTGGGATTATGTAGCAATGCTAAGGTATTCAGGGATGAGGGGTCTAGGCGCTTAGGTATTTGGTTTTACGGCCTGAGGCTTCCGATGAGTCATTCCCCCGTAGAGTAACTGCTACCACAGCAGGTCATAGCATCCCTAAACCCTAAACCCTTAACCCCTAAATAAAGCCTTAAAGGGCAGAGAACTGTAAGGGGGAATGACCTAAGGCTTGCAGGTAAAGACCAATGAGCTGGAGCATGGAAATCTAATGAGCTGTGTTTCTTGTGCATCTTCGTGGGTCTCAGACAAGTGGTTGGGGGTTTAGGGTTTTCTACCATGGGGATTCGGGGCTTCTGAATTTGGGATCGGTGCTTAGGGTTTGGACTTCTGGATTGCGGGCTTTAAAGAAAGCCACCAACCCGGTCTGCCTCTTTGGAGCTCATGCGTTTTGGGTATTTGGTTTACCATGTGCGTCTCCATACTTGCAAACTCGGCATCAGCCCTGATGCTTAGAAAAATGGGCTGCAGGGACAGCTTCAAGGGATTAGAGAGGGGCTGCTCTAGGCAGTAGTCCGGAGCCTCAAGCCCAAAAACCTTGAAACTCCCAGAATACGGGTTATTCAGATTATTCTACAGGGGCTTCCATAGCGATCCGTTCCCAATATGTCCCACGTCACGGGGTGAGGCGGGCAATCTTGCGACTCACGAGGCCTTGGTAAGCGTACTTGTACCCCTATACAGGGTTGAAGCTGAATTCAGTGCTCAGTTACTAAAAACTGAAGCCCTTCCCCCTTCAGCCACCCAAAGACGTAAATCCTACCCTACTTTCCTGAACCCCAAACCTTGGGTACTGCCCCCCCTTAGTAACAGTTGGATAATAATTGTAATATGGTTATATATAGCCCTTCATAGGACCCCTAATATAGACTGTTACTTGGGGGGGGCAGTACCCAACCTAAACCCTCACTTACGCAGAAGGGTTACCCCAACCTCTAAGATGAAGACCCTCTGACAAGCATTGGTCTCAAGGCTTTAGGGTTCATTAAGGTTCAGGGCTTAGGGTTCAAGGTCCTTCTTATAGGCACTGGGGTTACCAAAATCCATTCCGGGGCTGCAACAAGCCTACGCATTTCCAGTTTCAACGTATTTCTCATGTCGTTTCCATTCAATTCTCCAACATAAGCTTTCTATCAAACCCTACACCACAACATCCTAAGCCCTAAGCCCGAAGCCTTATAAGTTTTTTTAAGCCCTAGAAAGGCCAACACCCCAACACCCCAAGCCCCATAAGCCCCACGAAACCCTAAACCCTAAAACCCTAAACCTTATAAGGTCCCCCCCGTGATCCTCCGTGCAAGGCGAAGAAGGCATCCGCAGCCACCTTGGGAAAGGTTTCCCAGGCGGGATGCGGTTTAGGGTTTCAGGTTTAGGCTGTAGGGTTTAGGTCAAAGATCTTCAACGCAGGTTTTTTTAGGGTTTACAGTTTACGGTTGAGTTTGTCCCCTTGAGGGTTGTGAGCTTGAGGGCTGGGGTCTTAAACGGGGGTTTCCCAAAATTAGGGGGTACCCTTTTGGGGATCCCCATACAAAGGACTATAGTAGATTAGGGTCCATATTGGGGTCCCCTTATTTTTGGGAAATTACCAAATACCGTATTTGAGGATAATGTTCCTAAACCCTAAACCCAACAAGCCCCAAAGTTGCAAAGGAAAATTCCCTGAGAAGGCGGGATGGGGGAGAGGGGGTGGGGGGGAGAGGTTAGGGTTTAGGGTTTAGGGGTTTGCGTTCTTGGGTTTAAGGTTTAGAGAAATTAAAGGGGCTTAGAGAGATCTAGGGTTGAGGGTTGTACGGATATAGGCTTGGGGATTAAGGGGATTATGTGCTTGGGATGCAGGGTTACAGGGATTCAGGGTTTACGGCACTTTAGAGCCAGGAGCATTTGGGTTTAATTTAGGTTAGCGGGATTTAGGGTTTAGGGTTTAGGATGCAGGGAAACAAGTCTCAGGGAGACATAATGTAAGTGGGCTGCTTTGCAAAAGCGATATTTTGGGGACCAGAAGGATTTGGGGGATTATGAGGGGAGTCCGGGGTGCTGTTAAGGATTCTAGAGAGGTGACTAGGGTTTAGGGTTTATGGTTGTTTGGGACTGCTTTGGGCGGACCCCAACAGGTAATGGGGTGTATGGGAAGTTTACAGGAGCCAGAAATTATGTTGAGCTTCTTTTTATGCAGTTGTTATACGCTTTTCTCAGGGGTGCACTATGGCTGCGGGAAAGATATTGGGGCTGTAGAAAGATTGCAGGCATGATGCAGCGTGTAAGCTTCTGCGGCAAAGTGGGTGACAAAAGGCGAGTATCTTGTATGTGTATATATATATATATGGATTGCTTTTCTCGCTGGCCACGAGAGCATGTATGATTTTGAAGGGGTTGCTTTCCAAGAATCACAGTCAATAATAGCAATAGTAAGAATAGGACCAAGTAATGGTAATAAGATAAGAGTAAGTAATGGTAGTAACAAAGATAGGAATAGTAGTAATACTAGTAATATTAAGAAAAGGGATAGTAGTGATAATGAGAGCAATAGTAATAGTAGTAGTAATAAGAATAGTAGGAAAATTGGTAACAACAGTAAGCCCTATGACTACCCTATAGTCCCATTTTCCATGTAATGTTCCATCTTCTTTCCATTTGATTCTCCGTCATAAAAGAGCTTGGCATGCACGAAAGCCGCACGCCTTGCGTTTCTCGGAAATAAGTGGAGACAATGATGGGGAAGCCTCTACAAAACTCTTCACTGCCAATATCTTCGGGCGGGGATACGCACCGGGGATATGCTGCACTTACTTGCAATCTTCTCAGATAAGAGGGCTTGTGTTGGTAACTTTTTGATAAACTGTTTGGTGGGAGTTTCCCTTGTTTGAGGTCATTGGGGCCGTGGTAGACGTCCAGTTCGATACCGCGCTGCCGCCCATCCTGAATGCCCTGGAAGTGCGCCTAGGTTGCACGCTGATGGGTATAACCCCTATACAACGCCAATATAATATAGGGCTTAGGATTTAGGATTTAGGGAATTGCGCTGTAGTAGTTTCCATTTTGTTTTCCATTATCCCAATATAACCACAGTATACTATAGTACTGGGTTTTGGCAGCCCGAAGCTCCAATTTAGGGCACCATAAGAGTCACGTGAAAGTCATAGGTTGCTGGCTTGGGAGGCTGGGGTAACTAGGATCCCCTTATGATTTTGGGCACAGTCTGGGTTCCTATCTTATTATGCACAGATTTCCTTTCTGAGCTTCGTTTCGAGAATTTAGAGGTTTAGGGGTACGGGTTTAAGGGCTTAGGGGTTTAGGGCTACTTCAAGGTTTCCCAGTAGAAGCGACTATAAGCACTTACTTATAGTCCCAGTTACCACTTCATTTCTGAATTTCTTGCCCGTTTTATTTCTCCATCATTGGTGTATATTCCTGCATTGAGGCCTTTTAGGTGAGTCCAGAAACACCAACATAAGCCCTCAACCAGAACGAACAGGCAGGGCTTCGAGCATCGCTTGGTTCTGGAGGCGGGCGCTCGTGCTTTTCACAGGACTACCATGCGCGCCCCACAAATTGAGGCCTAATATGCTTGAATGAGCCCCTGCAATAATCCTTCATCAAGGCCTGCATTTGTAGAGGCCCATGTCCTTCAGGAAGGGGTTGCATACCAGCGTTTTTTTTTTTTTTTTTGG